AAAAAAAAAAAAAAAAAAATCTACTCCCAAAGAAAATTGGACCAGAAGTGGACATGGAACCAGACCTTGGACAATCATACACTTTACTGTGTGAATCTGTGGACCTTGAAGACTTCAGACAGGCTATGCCAAGCACTTGATAGATAATAGTTAGAGAAGGTTTCAAGGGGTTGCTAGTGTGACTCCAGGACAGAGCTGGGTAACTGCCGTTTGCTGTAGTCCTATAGATCTAAGTTTACACCCTTAAGGAGGCTGTAAAACCATAAGAACTGTTCATGCCAGGATATAGTGTACCATAACTGCCCCTAGTTATGCTGGGAACTGTATAACCTTGAGTTGAAGAGAGGTAGCTGGTTCAATGAGTTGGTCCCAGCACAGCCTGACATCATCATGCAGAACCTTTTTAGCTTTATGGGCATACATACACACACACACACAGACACGCACACACACAAAGGCTGAGTTGGAGAGAGGAAGACTAGAGCACCCCTTGCACAGAACTTTGGTGTTTAGAATCTTGCACTTTGGCCAGTCAGGATAATGGTTTATTTTTACTATATATTCTGACTGGATTTTCTTCTTTCTATCTCTGTTAGAAAACTAAAATTTGATTTAACCAGATAGTGTCTGTCTGGTAGTCTCATTGAACCAAATTTACTACTTATTCATACAGCACGACACAGGGAAGCGATGAAAACCTGGAAATATTTCCTATTATTCTCCAACAAACTCATGATATTGGTTACCTCGAATAGGGGGACAGGAAAGGCTAGCCTATATCAGAGGATATGCATAGGGGATTGCTGTGCTGAGGGGAGCCTTTAGAGCATCTGAGAACCCCTGGTGGGGACACTCCTATTCCCAAGTCCCAGGCAGCCTGCTCTGGGGGAGTTTTCACAGCTTCACACGGGGCATAAGGGAGCCATATTGGCTGACCTTTGAGTGTGCAGTGAAGCCATCCAGCATCCCTGTGAGAGAAACGGATTTTTAAACTCACTGGCTTTGAAGACTCCATCTGCCACCTGCCCTGGCAAGGTCAGGGCATATTGGATGCAACCCCAAGCAGGCTGCCAGATCTCTGTAGGGCTCAGGGTTTAGTCCTAACCTGGTCCCTTGGTTCCCAGCAACGAAGAGCTTCTGCCAGGTCAGCCTCTCTTCATATTAAATCCCAACTCCCCCATATTCATTCTTTCTCTCCTTTCCTTTTTTTTCATACACACATGCTCATGGGTTACACACACACACACACACACACACACACACACACACACACACACACCCCACTTATCAAGAGGACTAGATTTGATTGCTGTTTTTGTTTTAAAGCAAAAATTTAAAAGGTTCTTAGAGAGTATAACAACAACTTACCTTTAAGGCCAAGGAAAAGAGGCAAAGGAGCAGAACTTAAATATGTGCCTCTATGACCAACCAAGTCTCTGATGGCCCCTTCCCTCAATGTGATATGGTGGCTTACTGGGGTGCAGGACTGGGGGATTCCCAGTCTTTCCCTTCTTCTCCATGACAAACATTATGAATATTTCTTTGTGGGACAGTCCCACAAGAACACACAGCAGCCCCTCAGAATGTGGGTACATACCAAGGATCGTAACTGAGAACTTTATCGAGCAATGTGCCAGCCATGATACTGTGTTTCACATAGACTAGTTTGTTTAATCCTCACCATCACTCTTGTGAGACAGGCACTGTTATGGCCACTTTGTAGATGAGAACACTGAGATTCAGAAGGGGAGAACAAACTTAGTAAGTGGCAGCACAGCAATTTGAATCTAGGACCATCCAACTCCAAAGTGAATGTTTCTGGCCACTCTGCCTGTTGCCTCCTCCATCCCTACAGCTGCCAGCAAAGCATGACCAGCCTTTCCAATCTTGCTTTTCATCTCATCTGGTACCGATGCCCCAATTCTGCCAGTTACATGTTTATTTTTAAGAGGGAAAGCATCACTTTCCCTCTCGGGATGGTTCTGGAGTCCTGGGCATGTACTTCAAAGAGGCAGGAAGCAACAGGGAAGGGGCAGCCTCCCTCGGTTTGCCCTTCATATAAGGGGTGCAGGCACATCATTTCCTTAGTTCTGCTGTAATGGCTAAGAAATGACCATTGCATCGGCCAAAGTAATTTTAGCTGCTGTAACATATGACTTCCAAGTTTCAATGCTTTAACCCTAAAAGACATTTATTTTTCACTTACATAACTGTCAAACACAGATTTGTTTTTTAAAAAAAGCTGTGTTTTGGGTTTAAGGACTATTTCTCAGATGATCAAGCTCATACCATACTCTTTCCTCAGCCTCAGTAAAGGAAGAAGCCTCCAAGGCCTGCTTTCTATACTCTCCTTGTGTACATAACACATGCATCAACTGCCACTCAAGACCTGGTATGTAACATCACACCCAGGGTTACTGCCCTGGCTGGGTCACAGAGAAAGAACTGCCTGTGCATGAATCAGGGCTCATTGCTCAGCCACTACACCTTACCCCTTACCCTTACAAAACCTTTCCCGTTTCGTTTCCTGAGGAGTACCCCAGAGATTTTACACTCTCTGACACACCCAATTACAAATAAGAATTAAAGCCAGCAATGTCTCATAAGGGTATAAAAAGTCTTTTACAACTGCCCTAACTGCCAATGCTAGTGACAGACCCAGAAAATTTAATGAGCTTACAGTTGGACTCCTATGAGAATTCCACCAGGAGCTAAAGAAGTGAGGTGCCGTTCAAGCGGCATCAGTCCCCAGATCCTTCTCAAGTGGCTCATAGGTCCCGTGTTCCCATAGGGATTAATTCTGAGTCCAGGAAAAAAGGTATCTTAGCTTCTATGGCCCAGAGGCAGAGTCGTTCTTAGGGACCTGTAAATTAGGGGACCCTAGGCTCTCCTGGCATACACCCCAAGGCCCTGATGCTTAGAATCAGTCCATAAACTCTGTATTGTTCTTCTCCTTTCTGCACCATCTCCAACAAAGATGTCCCTTGATCTCCAGGCCTGGATTGGAGGCCTCACTTGAGGCGCCGCTCAGCCTCTCCACAGCTGCCCTACATGTTCACTTCAACAAGACTCACCTGACTATTAATGGCAGATGAGCCCACACTGGGTGAGGCTCTGGTCTTGGCCACTCAGGATGACTTTCCAGGGTATGGAACTGCCTGCATCAGAAGAATACAGGAAGGGTCTCTGCCTGGAACTCATGTGCCCTCCCATAAATTAACTGCTGCTGTCTTTCTGGCTCTTCTGCTCCCAGGAACTCAGTTTCCTTCACTTACTAAGAGCAAGAGGGAGAGGTGCTTCACAGACAATTTCTTCTAAGCACAACAAGCACTTCCGTCCTTTTGCTTTTGTAGCACTTTATATGAATGAGAATACTTATGGCTGTGCACTTTGATGATTCATTTACACACCATCTTGTATCTCTCTTACAGTCTGTAAGTTCTACAAAAAAAGGGAGAGTTCCTAATTCATATCTGTATTTTCTGTACCTTCTACGTCATTTGACTCTCATAAATGTTACTTAGTGAGTGACAATCATCTTGGAAAGAACGAATTAGTATATAAATAAGAGAGTAGGTCAATGAGCAAAGACCAGTGGGAAGAGAATGAATGAGTAGTGAGTGATGAGGGAGGGTGTGGATGAATGAGGGTGTGAGTGGCAGAATCATGGTCAGTTGCATCCAGGTTTCCACTCTCCTCTCTTTTCTTGCAAATAGAACACTGATTTTTAGTTGGGCGCATTGCTAGTCAACAAAAAGAATACATTTCCCACCCTCTCCTGCAACTAGACATATCCATGTGACAAAGTTCTGTGACTAATTTCAAGGTAGCAGCAGTGTTGCTTGACTCTTCAAAGAAAATTCTTAGAAACAAAATATGTGCCCTCTTGGCTCTTGCCCCTTTCTATCTTTTTATGGCCTAGGAGACATGTGGTGATCAGAGCTTAGCAGGGATACTATGCAATATTGCACAACAAGGTGACTTCAAGGAAAAAGGTCACACTGGGACAGTGAAGTAGAAAGATAGAAGACATCTGGGTCTCTAAAGATCATGGAGCCACTATAATGCCCTACACTGCCTTTCTCTGGACCTTTTGTATATAAGATAAAAATACATTCTCAATTTGTTTGTTGTTGTTTTGTGGTTTTTGGCCTTCATTATATGCGGTTAAACCTGATATTAACCAGCTTGCCTAGAATCGGGTTAGGGCCAGAACTGGTCCTAGAACACAGTCCTCCTCTCACCCAGTCTCACATTCTTTCTAAAGTTAGGCTCAAGTCACTATATGAAGTCCTGAAATTCCACATTTACCCAGATCTTGCAGATGCCCTTGAAATGCCGACCCAGGGTCATAACACGGAATCAGAGAATCTTGATCTTTTAAAAATACAATCAAAGTGAGGGATGGTCCATGATCAATGTCCAAAACTTCCCAGACTGCCAGGGAGCACAGATTTAGCCTTAAACTGAATGCAAGTCCCAACAGCCCCAGGAAATGCAACCAAGAAAACCCACCTATGACCATAGATCCTGGTGCAGTCATAATTTTTGTGGCTCCTGCATTTCAACAGTGAAGCATTTTCTTTCCTGAAAAGGGAAGCATGTGGGGGTAGGGTCTTACCTCCACCAGGGAATGCCAGTGTGCAATGGGCTTCCGAGGATACGACAACATTTCACTCCAGTGGTCTCTGCCCAGCCTCTCAGCCTCGTTGCCTACTTGACACACGCCGATGATCTCATTGTGACCTACACTGTGAAAATGGCCCACAATAGTTTTTTCTTAAAATTTTGGTTTGTAAGAACAAGAGCTACTAAACTAAACTGATGGAGGAATTGGAGAAGTAGTGTTTTTTTTTTTCTTTTCATTCCCTAATTTAAAACTACAGGTCAAACTTAATAGCCAGCAAAACTTGGGATCTAATACAGTACCCCAGCTTTCCTAACACTGACATGGGTCAGCATGTTCCCAAGAACTCTGTTCTAAGAACTCCCTGATGCATGCTAAGGATGCCACCTCTGGTTCTGAAACTAGGTCAGTCTTCAAATCCATGTAACAAAAAGGAGCCATTTGAGAAGAGTTTCCTGCAATAATGGCTGCTCAAATTCCTGTGAGAGCCCACCAAGGATGAGTTACAGAACAATTCTGTGTCTGGCAGCCTTGGGTCTTGAGCTTCCAAACGGGGCTGGGTGAAGGGGATGCCTGTTCTCGTTCCCCATCTCTTTAGAGAATACTGTTGTCATCTTATTCTCCTCCTCCTTTCCTTCCAAGCCCAGCTTTGTCTCTTTGACTCAACTTAATTTCCCAACTGCAAAAAGATACTTAGTTCCTTTAACCTTAGGGCTAATACTGAAACTTTCCCTAGGTAGGTGCCTGCGTTAGGCCATTCTTTCCTTAGCAGTTTTTTTGTTAAAAGTCCTTTGCATAACTGGAGTGATATGACCATTCTTTAACTCTGTGAGATCCATTCTTTCTTTTTTCCTTCCTGCAAAGATGAGTGATTTTTCTCCTATTTGTGTGTGGGGCACAAAGGAAAGACAAGGGTAGGGAGGTAATGTGAAGGATATTTGGGTCTATACTCATTAAAATTAGATGCATACAGAAGCCCCATGGGTTCTGTCATGAATTTTTCCAGGCCAGATTCATGAGTTTACTGAGAATTTAATTGAGGCAGAATTCACATAATCAGATTTGTCGATGCAGGAAACTTGGCAATAGCTTATAAATTGCTGGCCTAGGCTTCCACAGTTGGTGGGCAACATCCCTTCCTGGGGCCTGACACTATTGGTGTTGTTTCTTGCCCACAGGAGATGGGACAAGGTCTACTGCTCAGCATGGGCTGTCACTCTCATGGGCAACTGAGACAAACCAAGTGCTCTTTGGGCTGGAAGATGGTCAGGCTTCACTCAGGCATCTGCGGGAAAGAGTGTTCAGGTCACTGAAGCTGCCTTACTGACATTTTAGAGATGTGTGGGAAAATTTTTAGCTACAGATAATATCAGAAGTTAGAATATATTTTATAAATGTATATAAACTTCTAATAGAAAATATATAAAATATATATGTGTGTATATATGTATGTGTGTGTGTGTGTGTGTGTGTGTGTGTGTGTGTGTGTGTGTATCTTGAGTCTGTGTGTGTGTGTGTATCTTGAGTCTGTTGCCCAGGTTGGAGTGCAGTGGCATGATTACAAATCACCACAGCCCCGACCTCCTGGGCTTAGGCAGTCCTCCCTCCTCGGCCTCCCAAAGTGCTGGGATTACAGGCATGAGCTACCACGCCTGTCCAGAAATCACAATTTCTAAAAATTGTGCCCCAACCACGTGGGAGGTTTCCAATTAAAAAGACTTTTCATTTCAGTCTAATGACTGGTTTAACATGTATAAATTCCCTGTTGGTACTTCCTTTGCATATTAAAATGACTGTTTTTAAATACACAATTGGCTACAATGCAGGCTATAAATATCTTTTCTGTGCTATATTAATTAAAAAGTCAAGCATCTTATACATTTTAATGTACCTTGTCATCCATACTGATTCTAGCATTTTCAAGAGAACATTTCTGTGTTTGCTTTCAGACTTAAGTGGATGGAAATGATCTTTATTAAACACATTGAGAGAAGTAAAAAGATTGAAGTTATGTATTTAGAAATGTTGACGTTCATTCTGCTGTTTGAAGGAAATCTTCCCAATGAAGGGAAGTCAGGATTGCCCGACCAAAGATCAGACCTGTGGGGTTATAGTTCTTCAAGCTGAGATTTTAGGAGGTATGCAGAGATGAAATGGGGAGGATGGAGGAAGAGAAATAAGAAAGGGAGAGCAGAGAATGGGAATACAGAGAGGCACTTTGGTAGTCTGACTCTACAGCATGGTTTGAAGGTGTCTCCCATCAAGCAGCTTTTCGTGTGTTGCTGGGGTCTCATTTCTTGTGGCCTGGGACACCAGCTTGCCCTCCCTGCCCTGGACACAATAGATTTGCACTGGGGAAGAGCTCCAGGTATCTCACCGGTCGTAGTCCATGACCGCTATGGACAAGTGGATTTGGTCAATGTTCTCAGGAGGGACGTCAAAGACTATGGCTTCGTTGTAAACAGGATTCAGCGTGTTCCTCTTGGTGGATGTTTTCCTCTTCTTCAAGCGTCTGCCATCACACATCAGCGAGACTTTTACATAGGGATCTGCACAAACCATGAGAAGCAGGAGTACTGTGAGGATAAATGTAGATTTAGGCCAGCAGTTATATCATTGTGGTTTTCCTGGACTATGGCATGCAGAATTCTTTTACCGATTTGTGGATTGGAGTTGAAGGATTTTCATTAATATGATATGTAGGCAGCAAATAGTGTTAGGATAATTAAGTCATTCATTTAAGAAAAAACACAGGACACTGTCTCCTCAAAATATGTGAAATTTAAAAATAGTATGAAAACATGTTATCAAATTAAAAGACATTCCAGCTAGAACTCAAGACTAGCCTTGCTGGGATAGGAAGAGAAATGCACAGATAGGCCCAAAGGTAGAAACAAGTCCCCAATTCTGAGCCACTTTGGGGAATCTTTTCCTAAAGATCAGGTTTTTAAGACAGGGAATTTATAGACTCTTAGAATTTCTGAATTCTTAAAGGACAGGAAGATTGTCTGGGATAGACTTCCTTAAGTACTGAGGCCTTGACAAACAGTCCAGTTGCAAAGGGAGAAGCAGCTCAGCACGTCAGGGAGAGGAAGAAGATAGGCTTGCTTGTGGTGCGATGCTGTGATGGAGTGACAGATGGCAAGACCGGCCTATGCTCCAGACAACGTTCTTCTGGTCCTACCAGCTACTTCCCTGTCTTCTTGCTCAGTGAGAAGATCTCCTTCTCTCTTCTCCTGCATAACCAGGCACAGCTCTGACTCCTACACACTGTTCTGAAGGGACTTAGAGGTTCAGAGGGGCCACATTATTTTATTTTTAAAAACAATGGAGTATAGGACACGAAGTATATCACATCGGATGTTCTTTGATTACAGTGAATGTGAGCTAGTGTGCACAGGGTGTCTTGTGACCACATTTGGGGAGCCTCTGTAGAGATTACTTGTGAATTTGCATAGTAGAAACTGTATATAGAGGCATTTTTTTGTTGCTGTTAGGATTTAGAATTTAAGGCACATGCTTTATTCACTGGAAAAACCAAATTGTGCAGTTCACTTTAATAAGGAAATAGTGTTGTTTTCAACCTTCAATAAGCCTGAGATGGTGATATCTAAGAAGAGACCCAATTAGATAAGCTATAACCGCATGTGCAAACTGTAGGTCCAATTCACAGCTACGATGAGGAAGAAGATCCAAGAGAGAACACAGTTGTCCCTCAGTATCCATGGAAGATTGGTTCCAGATAGAACAAAACCCAAGGATGCTCAAGTCCCTTATGCAAAATGGTGTAGTATATGCATATAACCTTTGCACATTTTCCCATATACTTTAAGTCATCTAGAGATTACATATACCACCTAATACAATGTAAACACTATGTAAATAGTTGTTGTACTATATTGTTTTTTAAAATTTGTATTATTTTTAATGTTGTATTGTTATTTTTTTCCTTAAATATTTTCAATCCATGGTTAGTTAAATCTGCTGACGTGGAGTTGGAGGTTACAGAAGGCCAAATGTAATAATAATAATAACTAACAATATATAGCATCTAATATATACCAGATACTATTCTTATAGCTTTATATGTATTAACTGAATCTTACAACAGCCCAATATGCCAGATACTATTATTACCCTCATCTTACAAGCAGGAATCTGAAGCCCAGAGAGGTGAAGTGACTTGCCCAAGGTCACATAGCTGTTAGGTGGTGGGACTGGGATTAAACCTAGGCAGTTTGGGTGCAGAGTCACAGTGCTTTATTACTGTACTAGAAACTTCATAAGGTACTTCACTAGAACTGTACGAGGAAGTGTGAATTTGAGAATGTCCCACCTGATGCTCCTGTTATGTCCATTGCCTTTAGATTCCTTGCTTTTATAATGGTAATAGTCAGCCTGCCAGCCGTTGGGAGATAGCACAGGGAAAACATCAGCTCTCCCAGGTCCACATTGTCCTGTTGAGAAAGCACAAACTGAAACATTAGCAAGTGTCTGCAGTCAGGAGTGCAAGAGGCTCAGCTGCAGGGCAGCTCTGGAAGGGAACACATTGCTCTTTTTGCTCAGTTCATGGACCCGGGTGTCTCTTCTCTTCACAACAGTCACATGGGAAAGAATAAATCCCTGCAATTTAAAGCGCCTCACCCCAAGGCAGCACAGCTCATCTTTAGATGGCAAAGTGGTGGGGCTGTCCATGGCCTCTGCCCCTGTATCCAGCCACATACAGTCCTGCATAGCCTCACACTGGGCCAGTTGCAGCCCAGAACATAGCCCCCAATGCAGAAGCCCCCACAGCCTTAACAATCCTCCACAGAGTCCCCCACATGTCTCCACTCATGTCCCTGTCACAATCCACACAGAGCTCCCAGGACAAAGCTATGTGAAAAGAAGTGTTGCACTACCCCACCCCCAGCCCAGGCACACTCTGCACACAACCTCGTGCAGCAGCATTGTGCAACCTCTCAAAAGGTCCCCACCCTGCCCTCCATGCTTCCCTACCCATCTCACTCAAGCTTGCCACAATATTCCCATACACTCCTGTATACCCTTGTCCCCTTCATGTAATCCTCAGGCTCCAGTGCACTGCATACCACCTGGTCACACACAACCCGTGAAGACCAGCACATGGCTCCACTAGACCCTGGAAACTTATAGCTTGTCACAGAGCTCCAGACAAGGACACTGCATAAGCCTGAGAGCAGCGCCCCGTGACCCCACACATCTATAGCCCTGGACACACCTGGACACCTGTCTCGTCCTGCCCAGCCTACAGGCAGGGAAGGAAGAACAGAGACCCAGACCCCCTGGCACCCCACCACCTGCCCCTTGGGGTCCCACTTTGCTACAGTTCTTTCCTTCTCTTGATGTGCCTCCAAGGAGTCCCTATTTCCCACTGCTGGGGAAGACATCTCTCCTCGGGCAGTGTGCAGCCATTCAAATAGGTCAGAAGACACGATCCTCTTTCTCCTTCTTAGCTCAAGGAGAGTATAACCAGAAAGGAGAAAAAAAAGCCATATCATTTAGTTTCAATTTCTGAGAGATACCTGAAGTTATTGAGCTGGGTGCCTGTGTTTAATTAATACAGTTTCATACTGACAATGCTCCGGGGAGTCAGGTTCTAAACCTCAACATCCACAGCCTCCCCCCACCTTCTCCATTCTCCAAGGATGCTTCTATTTTTAGAAGCACAGATTCAGCTCTGGAAGGTCACCTCACTCAACCTCCCTGCCTTGATTGCTTCCACAGGAGGATAAGATGAAGAGATCTATTTGGTGGCTAAGGCAGATGGACTGCTCCGTGTCTTCCTGCATTGTTTGCCTCCTGTAAATAAATGACCTCACCTCATAATCCAGGCTCTCCTGGTTCCTGGACCCCTGACCTCAAGAGACCCAGGTGGCTGGTCCTTTCCTTTTGGGAGAGATGGAGGTAGGGGAAGGTTGGGACCAGAATTCTAAGCACTGGAGGTTTCACACACAGAAGGCTCTGGATTGCTTTGTGGTGCTGGGTTCCCTATTACAGGAGCAGGAGCACTGAAGAGGGAGAATTTGATTCAGCTTCCTGCTGATGGCAGAGGGGAAAAAGAAGCAATGGCTGTCCCCAGAAATCTCCCTTTTACTTCCTTACTCCGTGGCCCATTTCCTGTATTCTTTAACTTCTGTTCTTTCCTCAGAAGGCTTTTTTTCATCACTTCACCTAGCTCTCTCCTCTCCCTGCATCTTGCCCAGAAAATCTTGGTTTGATTAAGTAAATATAGGAGTAACCAAAATCATGTCTCTGATGCTTCATAATCAATTATTTCAACATATATTTCCTGAGGACCCAAGCCGTGCACACACTGTAAGGTCTGGGATGTGAAAATGCATTCAGTCCAATCCCTGCCCTCAAGGCTGATGCACATAATTAAATGTGATGTGTCAGATTACTTCTGTACTAAGTGCATTGGGTTTGTTTTTTTTTTCCCTAACATAAATCCATTCACAAATAGTTATATTATATGGCTATTTGCTCGTGGGTTATAAAAGAAAACAAATCAAATCTCAAACTTGATGGTATATTCAGAATGTGAACTAAGGCTAAAGTACACATTAGTACTTAAAAAAAAAAAGCCAATTAGCAGGATGCCATGCTTGTAGTCTCAGCTGCTTGGGTGGCTGAGGTGGGAGAATGGCTTGAGCTTAGGTGTTCGAGTCCAGCCTGGGCAATATGTTGCAAAATGCCATTTCTAATAATAATAATAATAATTACAATAACAACAACAAATTAAAGAAATAGTTATCAAAGGGAAAATGCTTCATTTGATTTTCAAGTGCTTTAAAAATAAATCTTTTAAAACTTTCTAAATTATTAAAGTAGAAAAATAAAATTTAAATATAGAAATATTCAAGTAAAACAGTAAAATATCCCCTTTTCTCATATATATTCACTATGTCACTCTTTTCACTAAAGTTACACAGTGAATAATCATCCAGATTTTTTTCTCCTGTTTCATTTATTCATCCATCTATTCGTTTACAAATTCATTCACTTATTCTTTTAGCATTTGTTGTGGTTTTGGTAGTTGACCATTGTTCTTCCAGAAGCTATGAGCTGCTGCCATGGTGAACAACTGACACCATCCCTTGAGGAGAAATAGGTTTGATGGGATATGGAACAGGAGTTCACTGGCACCTGATGCTAACTTTGCTTCCTCCTCATCAGTCAAGGCTAAGTTTAGGTCAAGTATCTGTAGATCTTGATGTTTGTAAACATTCTCTTAAATCAGTGTTTCTCAACCAGGAGAAATTTTGCTACCCCAGGGGATATTTGACACTATATGAAGAAATTTTTGGTTGTCACAACTGCAGAGGGATATGTGCTACTGATATCCAGTGCATAGAGTCTAAGGATGCTGCAAAACATCCTACGATGCACAGAGAAGCCCCTCACTACAAAGAATTATCTAGTTCAAGAAGTCAGTAGTGTCAAGTTTGAGAAACTCTGATTTACACAGAAGTGCTGAGATTCTTAGCAAAAAGGTTTTCTGGAATTATGATAAAAGTCAAAAATAAAGGAGTGGTGACGTGTGTGTGGCTTCTTTTTTAGCTTGACAGAAATCAGAAATGCAGACATATCACTGCTGGCTGGGTACCCTGGAGGGTACAAGGCATAGGAAAGTGTCATACAAAGAAAGGTTCATTTGCTCCTGCTTTGTGTGGCCAAGTTCAGTATTGTTGGTAAGATATATTGGGAATTTAGAGCAGGCCCATGTGAATTCTCTCCCTGTCAATCTGTACACTATTTCTGTGGTCTGTTTGCCGGTAACAGCCGATGATAGCTGCAGTTTATGTCTAACTAGTGCACTTTTGCATTTCTCTGCTTGAGTTCTTGGGTGAACTCCTTCTCAACTCCATGAAGTTCTGAAAAAACTACTGCAGGAATTCAGCCTGACAACATATTCATGCCCCCGTCCACTGTTGTCTGTTCAGGGATGTGTATGTAACCCAAAAAGGACCACTTAGCAGTCCTCTCTGGGATTGAAAAATCAGTCAACATTGAGAAAGATAAATTCTCATTTTATCGAAGTTATTCCAGAGAATAATATCCCATAACCTCAGATAGAATTGTTGTAAGTTTCTTGTACTACATAGTACAAGCAGCATATTATCACTTTAAGCTAGCCTGTGTCAGTTAAAGATATATACTCTAAATCTGAAAGAAATGACAAAAATAAAACAGAGTTATGGGTAATAAGCCTATACAGGAGATAAAAAGAATGCTTGAAAATATTCATTTAATCCAAAAGAAGGCAAAAAAAAAAAAGGAAAGTCTGAAAAGATCAGAAGAGGCAAAAATTTAAACTATTTCAATAATTACATTAAATGTAAACGGTTTGAACATTCAAATAAAGGCAAAATTGATTCAATAAATAACTGGACCCAATCATATGCTGCCCCTAAGGAATCTACTTTAAATATAAAGATATAAATATAAAGCAAATATAAATATAAAGCAAAATAATTTTTAAAATGCCATACTAAAGCTAATAAAAAAAATCCAGAGTGCATGACAAAATTAATATCAGACAAACTATATGTCAGAGTAATAACTATTACCAAGGACAAAGAGAGTCATTATATTATGTTAAAGGCATCAACTCATTATAAGTACATACAAATTCTAATTGTTTTTACCCACCTGAGAGTACAACTTCAAAATACATGAGGCAAAAACTGATAATAGACAGAAAAGTTCCCAGGTATAGTCAGAGATATGAATACTTACATAACACTACCCACACACTTGGCCTAACTGTTGGCATTTAAAAAACACTCTGGGCCAGTCATGGTGGCTCACACCTATCATCTCAGCACTTTGGGAGGCAGAGACGAGAGGATTGCCTAAGTCCAGGGGTTCAAGACCAGTTTGGGCAACTTGGTGAGACCTCGTCTCTACTATAAATCAGAAAATTAGCCGGGCATGGTGGCACGTGCCTGTGGTTCCCGTTCCTTGGTAGACTGAGGTGCAAGAATCACCTGAGCCCAGCAGGTCAAGGCTGCGGTAGCCCTGAGCATGCCACTGCACTCCTGCCTGGGTGACAGAGTAAGACTCCTACTAAAACAGCAACAACAACAACAATAAAAACAGAAACAAAAACAAAAACACTCTGTGAAACAGTAGTAAAATACACATTAAATTTAAGTGCACCCAGAACACTAAACAAGATAGAGAATATTTGGGTCATAAAACAGGCTTCAATTAAATCTGAGAAGAATGAAAAAGATACCTGCAGATGCATGTTTATTGCAGCATTATTCATAATAGCAAAAACATGGAACCAACCGTGCTGCCCATCAAAAGAGGACTGGATTTTTTAAAAATGTGGTGCATATACATTACGGAATATTATGCAGCCATAAAGAAGGACAAACTTATGAACTTCACAGCAACTTAGATGGACTTAGAGTCTATAATACTGAGT